CCAACATCCTTGTTTTAGTTCCTTCATGCACTCCCGCCGCCGTCAGAAATCTTCGTCTGTGTTTATGCCAGTTCCCCCCAAAGTATGTAAGTTCCATGGGACAAGGGCCCGCCCCCTCAAATGCACGTGAATGTGTGAGCATAGAAAAGACCATACGGTACTGCCCCGGTATTGCCACGCGAGTGTTTCCCTGACGTACAAAGTCCCCCCAACACAGATCAGTGACCAGCCGTTTAGGAGTTTCTAGCTCATTTCCCAGCGGGAGCTGCACTGGCTGCCTTAGACTCTGACGCACTGCAGCCAGCCAGCCAGCGGGTGTTGCCTTCCCTGCGACAACAGTGTTCAGCTTCTACAAGGACCTCAAAACCAGGTGTAGACGTGTGCCAGTCCCTCCGGTGCAGGGACCCCGTTTATCTGGCCACAAAGACAGCTCCAAGATGCCCGGCGGCCGCCACGGGCCAGGGGTGAAGGCCTCACTCCCCGCGCATAATGCGACCTGACCCCGGCCAGCTGCCCCGGGAGGAACTCCTCTAACTCACCGGGGAGTAACTGTCCTCACGGAGAACGGCCTGTTTTTAACATACGGTCCCTGTGATCCTTGGAGCTAATTTTTTTTTTTTTGGAAACTTAAGGTCTTTCCATCAATTCCACAGAAACACAGGGTGTCCTGAAAAAAATGCACACACACATGTTGGGTGATTATAAAGGCAGTGTTTATTAAAATACATTTCATTTTCAAAATTGAGCTATCAGCTGTTAAAGTGTGTACACACTTTTTGGGACACTGTATATAAAAAGTTGAGGAAATAATTGCCTCTAAGGTACAAATAACATATTTGGACCAAAGCTCCTGTGACTTGAGTAATTTGGGATAAACGAATGCTTCTGATAACCAGGAGGCAGGCCCGGGCCCTCGTGCACGCTGCTCAGTCTGGCCCGGCAGCGAGATGCCCGTCTGGATAGCTCCGTAGGTGAACGAGACCCACAGAGCGCCTGACGAGCATTTCCGACAAAAACAAAACCCTCCACTCATTAAAACTGTACACAGAGTGCAGCAAATCGCCGGAGAAGAGTCTGTGGTCTGAGGGCCCGGAGTGGCGGGAGGTCACGCTCTGCGTCCTCTGGTCCAGGGGTCACTGAGGAACAGGGCCGCCACGGAGAAGAAGGCCAGCAGCAAGCCCTTGGCCACACACCGAGCGTAAGGCTCCCCTGCAAGACAGTGAATCAAGTAAGCAATGCTCTTCCTGCTCAACTCGCATGTAATTATTGAGATAGAAATCAGCCAAACCATTAACAAAGGTCTTTTTTAAAAATTGATTTTGAGAGAGAGAGAGAGAGAGGAAGGGAAAGGGAAAGAGAGAGAAACATTGAAGTGAGAGCAAAACATCCATCAGGGGACTGAGCCCGCCAGCCAGGCAGGTGCCTGACCGGGAATTGAGCCGGCAATCTCTCAGCGCTCAGGCCACCGCCCAGCCAACCGAGCCACTGGCCAGGGCCATAACCATCATTTTTAAGTGGCAACATGATTGGTACATGTTTCTTTTTAAATTTGTACACAGGACATAACGATACCCATTCCAGAAATCGGCTGTGCCCTACCTTGGTAATAGCGGGTCCAGGGATACAGAAGCTGCGGCCAACACACGTCGTTTCTGTCACAGTCGTACTCTGTGAAATTGATCTGGAATCTAGAAAACATTTTAGAAGATGACAGTAGCTGCCACAAAGAATCCTTTTGGTGAGAAGTATCGAAAGTTAAAGAAATACATTTACTTTCAAAGATCTATATTTATCTTCCTAAAAAATACCAACCAGGTCAGTGACCTACCTGGTCAGGGGCCGGGGGAGCCGGGCAGGGACCTGAATGAACTGGACGGAGGCGCTGAGGGGGAAGAGGCCGACCTGCTCACACGTCAGCCCGCACTGGGGCCGCCAGGTCACCGAGGAGACCCTGTAGGAGAGAGGGCACAGGTAGCACGCCGGCTCACTCCCGGTCACCTGAGGACTTCAGGCAGCTGACAACAACATAACCCAGGAGTCTCTCAAAGACCTTACCCCTGCCTGGCACGGGGCTCAGGGGCTGAGCGTCGACCTATGAACCAGAAGGTCCCCGTTCAATTCCCGGTCAGGGCACAGGCCCGGGTTGCGGGCTCCATCCCCAGTGTGGGGCGTGCGGGAGGCAGCCGATCCATGATTCTCTCTCATCATTGATGTTTCTCTCTCTCTCCCTTCCTCTCTGAAATCAATAAAAACCTATTTAAAAAAAAAAGTTACCCCGTTTGTATTGTGTGTGTTTTCAAATGTGCTCGCCGGGAGAACGCGTTACACAGCTGTTGCCATGACCAACACGGCCGACACGTCTCCCTTTTCGCACACGTGGCTGATAGCCGCGATTTGCAAGGAAACCCTCAGCTTCTAAGTCGGCGTGTCCCTGTGTCCCTGTTTCTGGGGCGCCCCCCGCGCTCCTGCCTCTGAACCGCACCCAAGCAGATGCCTCAGACCTCTTCTCTGCGCCCAGGATCTCCTGCTGGGCGATGCCTTCCACGGCGCCCGCGTCCCAGGTGAGGATGCGGACGCTCAGCTGAGCAGGAACCTCCGTGCAGGTGCCCTTCCCGCTGCCACCAGCCGGGTCTGCGCCTGGGTCGGGGGCGGCTGCATTTGGGGAAGAAAAATGACAGTTTTTCTACAATCCCCGGATACCGTAAAAATGGGAAATACTAGACAGGAAGCACATGATGAGGCAGGCTTCCATCTCTCAGGGGCTCTTATTTGTCATCCCATGCGGTATCCCCCCTTGTGTTCGAGATGTTTCCTTATACATTGTCAGTCACTGGAACTTTAGAGGCCCTGGCCCACATAATAACCGGAAATCGTGATTTGGTTCCCACGGTGCTCGCTGAAATCCACCCAGAGTTGCAGCAGAAATGCTGCATCGCTGCAGTAAAATGCCGGGAGCTGGTAGGTGAGAAGTCCCAGCCCGCTGAGCTGCGTGACCTCGGAGAGACAGCGTGAGGGCAGCCCTGGCTGGTGTGGCTGAGTGGTCCTTTGGTGCACGGGTTTCATTCCCGGTTAAGGGCTTGTACCTGGTTGCAGGTTTGATCCTGGCCCAGGTCGGGGAGCGAGAGAGAGGCACCCAATCAATGTGTCTCGAAAGAGTCCTGTGCTCAGAACCATCACCCCTCGTTGCCGCCCACCGCCGGCCTGGCCACCAACCACCACTCATCTGCTTTCTGTCTGCAGGTCTGGACGCTGCTGCGGATGGGGGAGGGGCTGCCACAGGGGGGGGCACTGGCGCCTGGCTCCGTTCACTTAGAATATTTCCTATCACCTTTTCTTTTAAGTTAACAAAACTGCTTTTTTAAATCACTAAGGCAGTTCTCAATTGCCCATATTCCTGGGACCAAGAATAACAATGCAAACTGAAATGAGCACCCTCACACCCACTCCCACTTCCTTTACAGACACTGCTGGCTCCTAAGACCACAGGGCAACTTGACCTTCCTGTGGATTTCCTTTTTTAGACACAAAAAAGGCATCACGAGCAAGAGAGAAAGGAGTGTTAACCCAGCAAGTGTCAGCTGAGCCCCAGCAGAGGCAGAGGACCTGCTGGGCGGGGCTCTGCAGTCCCAGCAGCCACGCCCCTCACTTCACCGGTGCAGCCTGACCTACCCACGATCTCCAGCCAGCCGTCACCAAGGTCCCAGTAATCGGAGTTGCCTCTCGTTGCAACGTGAGTTGCTTGTATTAACGAATCAAGTATTTCCGCAGCCTTGTCCCTGCGAGAGAGCAAGACGTTTCCCAGTGCGTGGCCGGCAGCTGGTCTCACCCCGAAGTCCTGACTCTCGGGGTCTCCAGGCCACCAGGGCAGGGGAGGGTTTCCGTTCGCAGATGAAAATGCTTCGGAACCAAACAAGTGATGGCCGCACAACATCATGAATGTACTAACGGCCACTGACCTGTTCGCTTTAAATGACTGATTCCGTTGTGATTTCACTTCAGTAAAAGAGGAAGTGCCCGCGTATCTGAAAGTGCCCTCCCCACAGGACACCAGGCCGCGGAAAGTCCTTTCTACGCCACACAACAGGGTGTAGGCATCTTCACACGTCGACCCCTCCAACTGCACCTGGCGAGACCCTGGTTCTGGCTCTAGGAGCACTGGGCTCCAGGGGCCCCGCAAACGCCAGCGAGGAATTTGCGTAAATGTGGGTGCAATGGTGTTACTCCCGCAACAGAAGTCTACTTCCCTCACTGCACGTCTGAATCACCTAACTAACCTGTCGGAAGTGGGCGTGTGCTCAGCACTGGCGCTGGCTTTCCCACCAGCTTTACTCCGGCCCTAACTTTTCACATCGAGTTGTCTGCGAGGCGCGCGGCGGCACTCACCGGAGCCGAGTGCAGTTCTCCTCGGTGCCCACCTCCAGGAGGCACCCCGCGAGCGCGTTTTCTCCAAATAACACGGGTCTGAGAGTTGCCGATGCGCACAGACCCCTCCCAGCTGTAAAAGAAAAAGGAGTCCCCCCTCTTACTGTCTGCGCTAAACAAAAGGACGACAAACCACGAGGAACCACCTCCCCTGCGGCTAAATACAGCAGCTGAACTTTAAAGCCACCGATTACTTGTTTCATTCAAAACGGGGCAACAGGCCCAGCCCCAGCTTCCCGCGGAGCCGACCGCCCAGCAGATTACCTGGCTGCCAGAGGCTCAAGGCCGCCGCGGGGTCCCTCCTGCCAGCGTGTGCGGCGCGCACCGGCCTGCCCAGCTGGTAACCTAGACGCACAGCAAGCGGGAGGTCAGAGGTCAGGCCGCCGGTCAGCAGCCAGGAGCACAGAGGGGAAGCACAGGAGTGCGGCTGAGCCAGCGGGCGGGGCTGCGACCTTCACCTGTTCTAGCAGAGATGCCTGTGACTTAGAGATAAATGCTAGAGACTCTGAAAGGTGACAGGCGGGCAAGTGCCCTGGTGGGATCACTCCACTGAGCAGGCCACTCAGTGAGTCCTCGTGAGTGACGGGCATGGGGCTCATCGGAGGGGCTGGGAAAGCAGGCGCAGCCAAAGGAGCCCCCCATTCCCCGGCAGGTCAGCTCAACCCCACGGCCGGGCCAGGGCCCACTCCCAGCGAGTGAGCCAACCCCCACCTCTGGAGGCCCCGTCAGACACCTCCCGGTTACGGCCACGGCCACAGCCCCACATCACCGTGACAGCTATGCCCATCGCATGGTGGTCTATTTGCGCATAAACACAGAACGCTCCACAGGACGGGAGCTCACAGGCCCCCAGGTGAGGGGTCCGTCCTCTGCAGCTCATTCTTTCTTAAAAAACTCATTTAAGTCCAGCTCGCATGGAGGTCACGGTTCGATTCCTGGTCAGGACACATGCCCAGGTTGTGGGCTCGATCCCCAGTGCAAGGCCGGCAGGAGGCAGCTGTTGTTGATGGTTCTCTATCATCAATGTTCCTATCTCTCTATCCCTCTCCCTTTCCTCTCTCTCTAAAAATCAATAAAAACACACTTATTAAAAAACACTTTTTTCAGCAACATTTTACCTGTTTTATCTCTTTTTCAAAAGCCAGGAGCTAAAGAGAATATCTAGCAATTTATAGCAGCTTGTTACTATCTATAACACTTTATGCAAAAAACAAAACAAAACACCATATTGCTATTGGGAAAAGAACACAGGGTCACCCATGAGAAGGAGAAAGGTCGGACCACAAGCTACA